GGTGGGGGGGTGGTGTGTGTGTGATCTATGAGTAGAGCCAGAGTTTAGGTGTATTAGCCAGGGTTCTCTAGAGTCACAGAACTCATGGAATGAATCTTTCTGTTTCCCTCCCTCCCTTCCTCCCTCCCTCCCTCCCTCCCTCCCTCCCTCCCTCCCTCCCTCCCTCTATCTCTCTGTCTGTCTCTCTCTCCCCCCTCTCTCTTATTTTGAATGACATACAGGCTGCAGTCCAATAATGGCTACTATTTATGAAGGGAAAGCCCCATGAGGCTGCGTGTCTCAGCATGTCTAGAAAAAGGAATGGATAGACTGATGGAGATGAGGGCAAGCAGGCAAAGAACAACCCTTCCTTCTTCCGTTGTGTTTTTCTTGAGTTATTTTTTATTTAAACTAGAAACAATCTTATTTTACATATCAATCCCAGTTCTCCTCCCATCTTTCCATGTCCCTCTGTTTCCCCATCCCACTCTCCATCCTCTCCTCAGGGAGAGTGAGTCCTGCCATGGTGGATCATCAAAGTCTTGTAACATCATTTGAGGCATGGCCTAGGCCCTTCCCTGTGTATCTAGGCTGAGAGAGTATCCCTCCACGGTGGAATGGGCTCCTAAAGTCCGTTTGTGCAGTAGGAATAAATACTGGTTTCACCGCTAGAGGCCTCATTTGTGACTGTTAGGAGGCCTGGTTCAGTCCTATGCTGGTTCTATGATCTCCCACTTGCTCAGGTCAGCTGTTTCTGTGAGTTTCCCCAACTTGGTCTTGACTCCTTTGCTTATCACTCCTCCCTCTCTACAACTGGATTGCAGGAGTTTGACTCAGTGCTTGGCTGTGGATCTCTGTTTCTGCTTCCATCCGCTACTGGATGAAGGCTCTAGGATGGCATTTAAGTTAGTCATCAACATCAGTATAGAGAAAGGACATTGAAGATAGCCTCTCCACTATTGCTTAGATTCTTAATCGGGGTCATCCTTGTGGATTTCTGAACATTTCCATTGTCCTCATATAGGCTTCTAGCAGAAGATGTGGCCCAGATTAAAGGTGTGCCTTCCATCCTCAAGGTCTAGATTAAAGGCGTGTTGTCTTCTTGCCTCAATATCTGGATTACAAGTGTGTCCTCCATTTCTGGATTATAGTTCATTCCAGATATAGTCAAGGGTTAAGGAGGTATTTCAGTTGACAAAATGTTGCCTTGCAACCTTGAGGACCTAAATTCAATCCCAGAACCCAGATTTAAAAAGCCTGGCATGATGGTTTGGTATCTTCTTGTAATCCCAATATGAGGGAGGTGGAGACATGAGGTTCTTTGGGGTTCACTAGCCTAATTTATCAGTTGGAGTCCAGCAAGAGAACTTTTCTCCAAGGAGTTAGACAGTGATCCTGAAGATGACAGCTGAGGCTATCTTCTGGTTTACATCTATGTGTGGGTACTAGCACACCCACATGTGCATACATACACACACATGTGCATTATAAAAAAAACAAAGTTTTCACCACACTCTGCAAACTATCTACTTGCATCCAAGATTATGAGGTGGCGTTTTAAGTGGAGTATTTGAAATGACTGGTTATTCTTCATCGGTCTGTGAAATCCATGTTTACTTGGAGGCTGCAGTCACTAGTAAGTTTTTCTTTTCCTTAGATGGTTTGCTTGAGCAACAAAGTGCTTTCCTGAAATCTGAATGGAAATACATTTTCAGTTCCTAATTCAGACCTCTTGCTTTTCTTCGAAGAATCCCTATTCCCGTGTTTAATAATTGAAGTTAGGGAAACACATTCTTTTAATGATTTTCTTTTTCTAGACAAACCTAAGAAGGCTTATTAGCAGCTCAAATGTGATCACTCCCTTTATTCTTTTCTTATTGAGCTATCAAAGAGTTTTGCCAACAGCTTCGGTATTTCCCTCGCTACCTCCTTTTCCTCCCAAATTATGGAAGAATTCAACTGGGCCCAGTGCTTTGTCAAATTGAATAGTTTTAATTGCCTTATTTGCAGTGGGAAAATCTTTTAATATTTCACTTTACCCCTCAAGATATTACATTCTTAGTCACGTGACCTTCATCTCTCCTTCATTGTGAATGAGAAAATAAAATCACATGCTTAGTTTTTCCCTTAGAGACTTTTATTTTTCTTCTTTTCACTTCGGAACATTCTCTCTCATCTCCTCACCTCTCTTTCCCTACTCTCTTATTTTCTCTCCTGCTGTGTCTTACTCTCAGTTTCTTCTCTATATTTCTCTCTTACCTATCTTTTGTTGTAAATCATCTGCAACCCACAATTTAAGTTTTATTTCTTTCTCTCTCTTTTTATTAATTTTGTGGCACAAGATGTTATAGAGTCCAGGCTAATAATGAATTCACTATGTAGCTGTATCTGAGACTGGCCTTGAACTCTTAGTTATCTCTTCTTGGCTTCTAAGTGCTGGAATTTTAGGCATGAGCTACCACACTGTTATCTATCTATCTGTCTGTCTATCTATCTATCTATCTATCTATCTATCTATCTATCTATCTATCTATCATACATCATTGATATCACTTTGTTTTTTTAAAAATAAAGAATGGAGTTAGCCTGAATGAATCTGCTTCTTTTCCTCTTTAGGTGGGTCATCCTCCTGTTATTTCTTTAGCTGGTGTCCTTCTACACATAGAACGGAAGTCACTGGTTGACACCACGTAGTTATTTCTTTTTGTGGTATGGAAATTTTTGTTGCTCCCTAGTAAGTCTCAGTCTTTCCCTCTTGATTTCCTGCTGGGGACTATTGCTTGATATAGACTAACTTATGTGAAGGTCCTTTGGGCTTCTGTGCTACAAGGGCAAATGTGTGAGGTTCTGGTGACCAGGAAAGGGAGAAGCTTGAGAGGGTACTCTGTCCCTTTTTATTGCTCATGTGCTTCCTTTTTTCCCTCAGCTCTGTGGTTGACCTTGTACCTTCAGACACCACTTATCATTCGAGACTTACTTTCCTTCTTCATGACTAGTACAAAATAAAATTTGCTTTTGTAACATGATTTTAATCTTCAGGACCGTCTTTCATTTATTTATTTTTTACTGAAACTGTTATTTTATGCACCAAAAGTCTTCTTTGTGCTTAATATGACTCAATGGAAAACAAATCTGTTCTGTACAACTCTACCCAGGATTCTCCTTTACATAAAATTGCATAATTGTCAAAAAGGAGCTTTAAGCTTCTGAAAATGAACTACTTCGTATTTAAACCCAATCTCAGTGTGAAGAAAGTATATCCACACTCTTTTTTAAAAATCAAAGTTCAGTTTTTTATTATCTTAAAATTCTAGAAAAGACTTAATTTTTATGTTCCTTTCTTTAAATACAATATTTCTCTAAATACACAGTCCTCCTTCCTATGTATCTCTGGTTGTAAATATTGCAGATTGTACCTAATATAGACAGAGTTCTTCTGAGATTGGGAACACTTCCTTAGAGGGACCAAAGAAGAGCATGAGGAAGTGGGGACACATAGTGGAGGGCTGTCTTCTAGAAATGACAAGGCACTCTGGAACTTTCATTAGCTGCAATAATCAACACAAGATCTTCACAAGACTGCCTCCTTCAACACTCTGTTCATATAGGGAGGAAGGTGATTGTGAGGTCCAGTCCTTCCCTGAGGATAGAAAGGTAATTGATGACCTCAGGGGAAGGGACAAACATGTACAGTGCTGTAACCAAGATTCCAAAGATCCTGTAAAGAAACACTCATCCATGTTCTTGTGAGCAGCCCTAATGAAACTCAATGGATGCTATACACAAAGCAGACAGGAAAATAGATGAGGACCTAGTTCAAAAGAAGGGGATCAGCTTAGTTTATTATATGTTTTCCTCTTCCATTACAGTCATTTAAAAATGGCAGTCAGAGGCCAGCAGAAAGGCTCAATAAAGGTGCTTGAGGCTGAACCTGATGACTGGAGCATGATTTCTGGGACCCACATGGTGGAAGGAGAACACTGACTCCTGGATCTATCTTCTCTCTCTCTCTCTCTCTCTCTCTCTCTCTCTCTCTCTCTCTCTCTCTCTCTCTCTCTCTCTCTCTCATAACCACTGTAATTAAAATTTTCAAATAAGATTAAAATGTCAGACAGATATAATAATTTAGCAATAATTTTAGCCAAGGGGCACATGTCAGAATACTAGGGATTTTTTTTTAGAATACTAGGGATTTTTAATCTGAATCTTTTGTACAGCTGCTACAGTGGTCACACTTGCATTAGTTTCTTGGAGATTTTGCAATAAATACCAAATAAGCTGGGTGGGGTAACAGCAAAAATTCATTGTCTCACTGTTCAGAAGAGTGGAAGTTCAGGATTAAGATTTGAGCAGGACTTGTGATACCTACAGAGAAAAGTTCCATCTCATCAGGAACCACAGATGGATATGTACCAAAAGTCAGATACCTGGAGACCACACATTTAGTTGTTATCAAACACTTCTTGCTATTAGCTATCCCAGTTCTACCTAGAAAGATGCATTTATCAAATGTCTGTAGGAGCCCATTGGAGCCCATCCTATGCCACAGTGTGGACTTTCACTTACTAAAATGACTTAGTTTCTTCTGCCTCTGATTGCTGAACCTGTCATCAACAGACAACAAAACTTAACCCCTGGGAACATACTACTTCCTTTTTTTTTTCGAGACAGGGTTTCTCTGTATTGTTTCGGAGGCTGTCGGTCCAGCTTGGCCTCGAACTCACAGAGATCCACCTGCCTCTGCCTCCCGAGTGCTGGGATTAAAGGCGTGAGCCACCACCGCCCGGACATACTACTTCTTAAAAGACAAAATGGTGGAAGGTTGAATACAATAAGCATCTTCCATTCTGCAAATGCCAGGGTTTTCTCTCACAGGAAGAGACAACTGCTGCCTGTAAGGGTTTTCACCAACTTTCCCATAGAACACCAAGCAATGCCATCATCTAGAGTCACAGAGCATCAACCAATATCATTTTCTGGGATCATAAAATGCCAACAAATATCATCATCTGTGATTTCAGATTATCAACCAAGACCATCATCTGGGATCACAGAGCATCAACCAAAACTGTCATCTGGGTTCTCAGAATGAGTGAGTCCTACATATCCCAGCACTCCATAAAGGACTTTGGGGGATAGATCAGTTCTGTCAGGTAAGCCACACATTGTTATGTTCTCTCTCTTGTATATTTGCCTCTTTATATTGTCTGCTGTATTTTAATTCCTTGTGCAGCTATGGCTCACATAATGCTGATATCTGTATAGAATTAAAAGGTTTGAGACAGAAGAGCTTTTATGTGCAGTAAAATAATTATATCCTTGTATTCACAAAAATGTAAGCCTGAGTCAAAGTTATTTAATTAACTGCAGAGGAAGCAATTAGTCTGGCACAAGATACAATCAGAAGGAAAGTGGTTAGTGGATTCTTCAGGAAAACTATGCTGAGGAGACTTTGCTAAGAAGGGATCCAAACTAGACAGCAACTTTCAAGGTGTGAAACCTTAATCTTTGGGATTGTCTTTTCTACTAGACAAAGATAACTCACACTTGTATTAGATGTAATCAATAGTATGTGATGTCATAGACATTGTCCTTAATAACTAATGAAGATTCAGTCCAGCACTGGGATGGCTCTTACATTCTCTGTCTGGCAGTAGCACATTATTATATGGAAGGAACATGTAGCTCTCAATATGGATGAATTTCAAACCTTACATATTTTTCAACAGAGCCTTTAGTATGATTCTGAAAACTATGGACTTATTTATTTCTTCGCTTGTTTTCTATCTCAGTTATGGACTTGTCTTTTTGCTAGAACAAAATAAAAAATCACAGTATATTTTGTACCATGTGGAAGCAATGACTGCTCAAAGGGAAAATTTTGGAGAAGATATAATAAACTAGAATTTACTTTGGGGGCTGGTGAGTTGGCTTACATGGGGAAAGTGCTTGTTGCCAAGCTTAATGACCTAAATTTCATTTCCAGGACTTACAAAACACAAGAAGAGAACTGATACTCACAAGTTGTTATCTGACCTCAACCTGTATGCCATGGCATGCACGAGAGTACAAAGTCACACACCGACACACACACACACACACACACACACACACACCACACGGGGGGAGAGATAGGAAGGGAGAGAGAGAGAGAGAGACAGAGAATTTATGTCGTCTTTTGGTACTCTGAGTTAATTAGGGATTCTTGTGTGAGTCCAGATAAGAGGCTACTTACTTTAGCACAGTCAACTTACGAATGGCAGTACCATGGGAGAAAATGATCCCCCATGCCCTGGTATAAGTACTACTTCAGCCCATCAGAACCTTGGGAGAGGAAGTGACTGAAAAGTGTGTGGAACAAGATGAGCTCTGGAAATAGCATTGAATAGCATTGAAGCTATATACTTCTGAGCTCAACCTTGGCATTGTACTCAAGTCTCTAAGATAAGGACCTTCTCTGTCTGTTGTCTCTCTACATCTTGAGAAATCTGCTGTGAGTTTCTTTGGTTTCTCTAGCTCTTGGTTCCCAAGATAGGCTCATCTTAAACTCCTTTTTTCATTTTAAATTCTCTTTGTTGTTCACTTTGATGAACAAGGGGAATACCTTCCATTGCTGGTGGGACTGAAAACTTACACAGCCACTCTGGAAATCAGTATGGCATTTTCTCAGAAAATTGAGACGCAATCTACCTCAAGACCCAGCTATACTACTCCTGGGCATATACCTAAAGGATATTCATACCACAAGGACACTTGCAACTGTGTTCATACCAGTTTTATTTATAATAGCCAGAACCTTGAAACAATGTAAATGACCCTCAACTGAAGAATGGATACAGAAAATGTGGTACATTTATGCAATGGATATTACTCAGTTGTTAAAAACAATGACATCAAGAAACTTGAAGGAAAATGGATGGAAATAGAAAAAAATAATCTGAAGTGAGGTAACCCAGATCCAGAAAGACAAACATGGTATTTACTCACTCATAAGTGCATATTATCTATAAATGATAATCCACAGACCCAGAGAGGTTAGGTAACAAGGAGGGCTATGGTGGGGGATGGGAAGGAGGATGGACATGGATCTCCTTGGAAAGCAGAAATAGAAGAGATCTTGTGGCTTGAGGGATCAGGTTGGGGGCTGAACGGAGGTGGAGAGTACTGGAAGAAATGACTGAAAGAGGGATTATTTTAGGGTCAGGGAAACTCCTAGGAATCTACAAGGAAGACTCAAGCTAAGACTCCAGCAATAGTGGATATGTAGACTGAACTGGCCTATGATCAGATTGGGTGACTACCCCAATTGTTACAAGAGAGCCTTCAACCAGTAACTGATGGAAACAGATGCAGAGACCCATAGCTAAACATTAGGTTGAGCTAGGGGAATTCTGCTGAAGAGAGGGAGAAGGATTGTGGGAGCCAGAGGGGTCAAGTACATTACATGAAAACCCACAGAAACAACTAACCTAGCTCATAAGATCTCACAGAATCTGAACTAATAACCAAGGAGTATGCATGGGACAGACCTAGGTCCTCTACATAAATGTGACAGTTGTGTAGCTTGGTTTGTTTGCCCGCGCGCATGCGCGCGCGCGCGCACACACACACACACACACACACACACACACACACACACACACACACACACACGAGATTAGAGGACAACTATTTGGAGTTAGTTCTTTCCTGTCACATTGTGGGCCCTGGTGATCAAAATTTCAGGTCATCAGGCCTGTGATCAAGAACTTCTACCCATTGAACTATCTCAACAGACAGAGAAAATATATTTTAATTCTTCAGGTTTGGTGTTATCTTAATCTTAATAGACCTGTCTGAGCCATTTTATAGCTTTGCTTTACTTTAATTTTCACTACCTACTTTATCTCAAGGACTATCTTATTGGAGAAAAATGATTATCTCTATTTACAATGTACACACATTTATACACATTATATATGACTGTGTATATACTATAATAGAGGACATATACAGTGGTGGCCTCATAGGATTATATTGACTTGTGAAGTTGTAGCCATCTTAGTTTGTATAAGACTATTGTATGATGTTTGCACACCAAAACTACGAGGACACGTTTCTCAAAATGTACCCATGCTCTTAAGTAACACATGACCATATATGCGAATATATGTATACACATACATAAGTGCATGCTATAAAATGGAGACAGGTAGAAAGAAAGAAGAGGATGAAAAAGAGAAGGAGAAAAGGGGATAGGGGAGAAGAGAGGGAATAACTGCAGCCTCAGTGCAGCAAGCCACTGCTAACAAGCATCCTTGCTCTGTATATTTCCATATAAATGTGAAACTTGACATTCTTGAGGGGGTCAGTGATGAAACCACTTCATTAACATTTCAGGGGGAACAGTAATTTTTGCCTCATATTCTTGGGTTGCAAAGTTTCTGGTTTTTTTTCAGCTTTTGTCTTTATTCTTTGTTATTTGTAAGCTGCTGGTACACAGAGATCTGAAAGCCACACCCACTGGCTCTCTCTGCACTGTGTAGCTGCAAGATGGCATTGTGTTCTATTCTCTGTGAAAGAGTCCACTTTCTGAATGTAAAAGACAAAGAGGAACACACAAAACCTGAAGCTTGCTTCATGAATCATTCCCTGTCTTCTGAGTAGAAAGATGCAGTGAGGCGGGTTTAGAAGTGTTCCTGAGAGAGCCAGGCCACAGAACGAGCCTGCAGGCTCACTCACTTCTCTGATTTATCAGAATGGAATACTGCCTTCTAAACAAGAGGGTGAGAGCAACCCTTGACACCCATATGTCACATGACAGACTCTCACCACTCTGCCTGTATACAAAGTATTCTCCTCTCCCTTCGGAATTCTTCTGCTGTCTTGTTGGAACAGAAACTACAGGCTGTGGTCTGCTTGGGGCTATTGGAATGGGATGGATGTCTGTGTGTGCATGTCTCTATGTGCATCACATGTATGCTGATGTCCACTGAGGCCATCAGAGAGCATCAGATAACCTGGAGCTGGAGTTTCAGGCTATTGGGAGCCTGACAAGGGTGCTAGAAACTAAGCTTCAGTCCTCTGGGAATGTGGTACTTGCTTTTAACCATTGGCACTCTCTTCAGCCATCATCAGTCATCTATATCTTAATGTTTCTTTGGTAATAGCTCTATGAAGCCAAATATTTATGAACTCAAGAAATGGAACCACTTAAGGTATAAAATGTGCAGTAGTTGGATTGTACAATAAACACTTACAGGTGACAGAGAATAAATGAATTTCAAGTTGCAAATATTAAAATGTTACATAAAAATGGGATGAAGTTCATAAGGCAGTTGGAGTATATATGGAGTAGTAATTAGAGAAAGGTTAGTCTTCGGATCAAGCAGTGTTCTGTTAAAGCACGACACTTTTCTGAGAAGGCCAGTGGAAATCAGTGGAGTCTGAGAATATTCTTGAAGGAAAGAAAGTCAAGGTTGGTGGACTTTGGAAACAGCATACACACACACACACACACACACACACACACACACACACACACACACAGCTGGAGATGATAATAGTGTGAATTACTGTGTGAGCTCCAGATAGACTCTCTGGAGCTTACTGATGTCTATGGGTTTTGATTTGGGAAATTGTTTGGAATGATTGACACCTGTCTTCTATGCACATGTTGGTAGGCAGATTCTCAGATGAAGATATTATTATTATTATACTAATTACTATTGTACTATTTTTAATAGATGAATTATTATTGTACTATTTCTCATTATACTAATATTCATTTCATCACATTGTTACTGTTGCTGTTCTCATTCCTAAAGATAGCTCCACTATATTTCTAAATATCCTATCTGGGTGTTTACCGACTTTTTTCAGTATTTCTTAAAAATTTTTACTAGTGGTTTTCAATTTCTTTTCTCTGTATCATTTTATTAATATTAGTTGTTGAGGAGTTTCTTCTATTCCTACTTGCTCGATTCCCTCTGGCTTCCTTAGTTTATTATATTCTGTCTTCTTCTCCCATGTTGAAGGCTGCCAATATGTTAATTTTCTTTTTCATTTATTGATTTATTTTTATGTTTATAGATATTTTGCCTACATACATGTATTCTGTGCACCATGGTGTGCCTGGTGTCCTAAAAGGACAAAAGAGAGCATTGGATCCCTT